GAACTGTCAGTTCTTAATTCTAAGAAAACATAAAAGTTAAAGTAAATATCCCATTTATATGGTATCCCAGGTTTTTAATCAAGCTCCAAAGATTTACTCAATGAGCCTAGGTGGACACAAAGATCTCAAATGGACTTTTTAAGTACTTGGCCACTTACTTGCCCCAAATGACTCTAGTAGTCCTCTCTTCTGGTTGCCCCTGAATATGTGACTTGAGGTAGGAACTTCCTAGCAGTAAAACAAGACAATAAACAGGATGTATCCAAAATGTGTTTATTGGGATGGTTTCCCACTCATCTTGACTCAGGGTGCTTTTAGTGCTGCTTCCGTCTGAAGGAGCATCCTGGAAGAAAAAGGTTCAGAGGTTAGCTCACAGCAGCCTACTTACCCTGCCCCACCCCTACAAAACAAAATGACACCAGATGACCCACCCACAGGAAAGCTCTATTTTTCTCAACTCCTTTAGCTACTACTTAGTCACTTAAGGACCTTATTATCAGCTTCAGCTCATATAAAGCCCCTTTTATCACCCATCCATCCCAGCTTTAGACAGTGATTTGAGATTAAGAAATACGTGGTTTCTGGGAATACTTTGGGGGAAAAAGACTATGGAATCCAACCCTCTTTACAAGACAGTCTGATAATTTACACTATACATGATCCCTCTCACTATAAGATTCAAAGCCCAAAATCACAACATTCGTTAAACCATTTACCTTCTGTAAGCCTTGCTTTTCCACCTGTAGGCTGGCAGAGAACAGTGGAGCAGCCAACACACAAAACTACTGTTTGTGCATGGCTAAAAACGGTGGTGATTTTATAGCATCCTAGAAAAAACATCAAGAAGTAGTTACATTTTTTCCATGCCTTTCTTCACTTAAATGTATGCTATCATGTATTAACTGTTAAGACATGCACATTATATAAACTCTTGAAATTTACTATCCTGTTCTAAACCTGATGACCTGGCTCCAAGTATACATTAACTCCAACTCAGAAGCAATGTGGACCACCTATGACTTTTTGTTAATGAGTGACCACCATCCCAAGCCTCAAAGGGGAAGCAGCAGAATCAACAATTATTCAAGGGTCAAAAAATACAGGATCCTCCCCTTAGGGAGGAGGGATGGTCACTAATGAGTCAATATATCCACTGCCTTGCCTCCAGGTACAAATACATAAATGACCAAAGCAGAAGCCCATCATCCCAGTGTTTCCTACCACAAAGAAATGTTAGAGTTTGTACATGGAGTTCTGACGGGAGATCACTGTGGATCACTCCTAAAACGCAGAACTGGACCCATCCGATACCTTCAAATTTTAGGAAATCAGGGCTGCTTCAAGGGTACGACACAGCTGACACTACACCTTTCACCCACTCTTGGGATCCAGTGCTGTCCCCATACTGCAAGCTGTCTCCTCACCTGGGCATTTCACATCCATGAAGTAGGAATTGGGGCTCTGCACCAGGCGCTTCTTCTTGTGTTTCCTCTTCTCCTCTTCCGGAGAGGGATGAAGGAGATCCTTTGCGAGCTAAGAGAGGCAGAAATGCAAATATTTAGAAACCAACGGCGAAAATGGGATGATCGAAAATAGCCCCCACTGCCACACACCGGGGAGAGCTCGCCCCTCGCCGCCCCTGGCGTCTGCGCAGCTGGGCCGCCATCTTATCTCCTCTCCGCTCCCGTCTAGGCAGGGGGCCCCGCGGGCCTCTGCGGTCCCTGTGGTTAATGTCCTAGGAAGTGCGGAGGGCAAATGGAGGCCCTCTGCGATCCGAAATCAGCGTGAGGGGGGCGTGCGGACAGAAGAGCGAGATCTCCGCCGAAACCTGGACCAAGAAACTCACAGGCATGTTCTCGTGGGGAGGTCGTCACCGCCGGAAAGGAGCGAAAGCGGAAATCCTGCTCCTTATATCCGTCATCCTGCAGGAAGTGACGCCCGGGCCTTCGGCCGCCATGTTGAGAAGGTCCTTCTCTCAGGGTCTGTCTGTGGTGGGGCGAGGGGAGGCTGCCATTGTCGGAAGGTCTCTAAAGGATAGTTATGGCACAGATGTGTCGCTATGTTGAGAGAGGGAGCTTGCTGTCTTAAGAAGGTCGGCGTTATGGGGGCCGGCCGGGCCGGCCCCGTGGTGTGGTGGTTGAGTGCGCACGCTCTGCTGCTGGCAGCCCAGGTTCGATCCCAGGCGCTTGTCAGGCCATGCTGTGGCGGCGTCCCACATAAAGTGGAGGAAGGTGGGCATGGATGTTAGCTCAGGGCCAGTCTTCCTCAGCAAAAAGAGGAGGGTTGGCATGGATGTTAGCTCAGGGCTGATCTTCCTCACCAAAAAAAAAAAAAAAAGATCGGCGTTTGATCTCTATCAGGATAAATGGACACTTTTTAAATTTCGTGCTACACTTTGACAGTTGAAAACAGCGAGACCGAGCCATGTCGGGACTTACTAAATTTCTTTACTACTTTTCAGTTGGTTTAGTTTGCCCATTTTTAGCAATTCAGCAATGTAAATATAGAAAAAGAAAAGTCCTGGGCCAGCCCGTGGCTTGGCGGTTAAGTGCACGCACTCCGCTGCTGGTGGCCTGGGTTCGGATCCCCAGCAGGCAGCGAGGCACCGCGTCTCCAGCCATGCTGAGACCGAGTCCCACATACAGCAACTAGAAGGATGTGCAGCTATGACATACAACTATCTACTGGGGCTTTGGGGGTAAATAAATAAATTAATTAAATCTTAAAAAAAAAAGAAAAAGAAAGTCCTCCTCATAATTCCCCCACCCCCAACCTACTCCTAGGGTTAACCCCTATAAAATTGTCTCCTTCCACTCCTTTCCCTCTAATAATAGTTACATCAAACACTTATATAGTGCTTACTATGTGCCTTGTTCTGACTGCTTTACATATGTTAATCTTCATAACAACTCTATCAAGTTGATGCTATTATTATCTACATTTTACAGATTAGGAAAGTGATGCCCAGAGAAGTTAAATAAATTGTCCAAAGTACTACTAAACTGCCTTCCAAAAAGTTTGTGCCAGTTTACAGTCCCACATCCTTTTTCCCACATTTTCACCAGCACTGCCTTTCCAAGATTTATAATTTTGGCGGGATTGACACTTTTGACAAGGAATGGGCAGAAAGGAAAAAGAAGACCAAAGCATCATCTTCTACAATAATGACCAAAGGTTTAGAATGTCCATTTGTCATAAAGGAGGAACGAAGATGACCCAAATGGCATCTGAGGACCTGGTTAATTCCAAAGAAAAGGGATAGGGCAAAGCATGTGAGTTCCAGTCAGAGGTGTGCTGGTAAAAGTTTAACAACCAGCTCTATGGAGGAGAGCTCTGATTTGCTGTCTTTGCTAATTTCAGTGGTGTAAATACTCCTACCATGGCTGATTTCAGACTACCAATGTGATATCATTAAACACGGAGTTAGTAAGAGATATGAACAATTTGTTCTCATGAGCCAATAAGAACTGGTTAGAGCACATTACTGATGGGTAGGAAAAACCTATGAGAAAGTGACATTTAGGCTGAAATCTGAAAGACAAGGAGTCAACCATGTAACAGTCTGGGGAAAAAGCATTCTAGGCTGAGGGAAGAGCTTGTGACTACAAAACCCAAGGCCAGAATGAGCCTGCCATAATTGAGGGAGGAAAAGGCATTGTTGCTGAAGCTCTGAGAGCTAAGGGGAGAGTACTACCAAGATGAGATTCCAGTGAAAGTAGGTATACACCAGCATAAATACTGTTTAGAGAGATGAGCAAAAATAATATGGTGGGGATGAAAAAGTCCAGATCCAGGCAAAATAAGATGAAAAGAAAAAGAACTGATGGATTTTTATCAGAACAATCCATGAAAATTGAAGAGTTAAGGGCTGATGAGAGATGGTTTGGCCAGTGAGGAGAAATAGAGAAGACTCAAGGTTTGTGATACAACTTTAACACATAATGGGAGGAGAGGGAATGGACAAAAGGGGATTGAATAGTTGTGTTTTAGAAGGGACAGACTTGGGCACAGAAGGTGACAAGGGTAAGTGAAGAGACAAAAGAGGCCTTCTCACAGCCAGTACACTGTCTTTATACGAGGACGATTCTACGGCCCCACTGTTAGTAAAGCAGATATTTTGAATAATTTTTTCCAAAGGCAAAGATAAACTTGTTTCTTTATAGCCATGCTCTCCGTACTTCAGCTTTCTGGTTGCCAAGGCTACACATTCACAGCTTGTTCAGTGGTGTATCAGGAGTACTGCCTCAGGGCTGTGTTAAAAGATCCACATCTCATCAAAAGAATGAGACCAGTTATCTGTAGTCCCAATCTCTGTCTTCCTGAGCTGGCTTGCCAGAGAAATCACACACAGGGTCCCAGAAGGAAGACTGTTTCAACCAAAGCCCCACAAAGTCTAGGTGAACTCTGTGTGTGTGCACAGGAGGGTGGGTATTTGCGTTGGGGTAGGGTGACGCTGGTTCAGTGTATAATAAATTTTAATTTTCAGTCTGTTCCACCAGGGGGCAGACGGACTCAACAAATAACCTCCTACTCCAGGGCATCCTGCTTTTTCCCAAGGAGTTGGGATTCTAGAACTAAGGGCTTGGAACGCTAACACCAGAATTCTAGAACTGCCCCAGAAGGCTTCTATCTTCCTTGAATAGCCCTTCCAAAAATAAGCTCCCAGTTTTTGTCAACTCCCAGTCCCATCCCCGCCTTCACCCTTATTCCCCAAAACTTTTCCCTTCGCTTAATTCCTCTAAAATTCATCTTTCCCTGGTCATCTTGGTTAAACCCCTACTTCCCTTCACTCCAGCTTCCCTGGCCTCAGACTGGAAGAGTGAGGTCACAAGAGCAGGAGGATAGTAATCAAAAAGCTGTGGGAAATGGCGAGAGAGAGAGGCCAGCCTAGGCTGGGAAGGGAAAGCCCAGAGAAGAGAAGGCTGGGCTGACCTCCCCGGCCATCCGAAAGGGGTGGGCGGGCAGGGGGTGGGGCCCAGAGGAGTGCCGCCTCTCCTCCTTCCCGGAGCCTGGGCGGAGAGGGAGGAAAACTTCCTGGCCTGGGCTACGGCTGCTCTGTCTGCCAACCTACCAATCCCGCCTACCAGTGCCCGGCGTTTCCCCACCCCTCCCCCCGGCTCCCCCAGTGTCCGCCATGGCTAAAGCCTACGACCACCTCTTCAAGTTGCTGCTGATCGGGGACTCGGGGGTGGGCAAGACTTGTCTGATCATTCGCTTTGCAGAGGACAACTTCAACAACACTTACATCTCCACCATCGGTGAGCCCACTGGCCATATCCCAGACCCCCGACTCCCCCATGCCCTCATCCTCAGGCTCCCAAATTACTAGTGACCCCACTTTTCAGTCTCCTTAGAGTGAGGCTACTAAACTCCAGTCCCTTAGCCCTGTCTCAGACCCATCCCCCATACATGTCTGCGAATGGTACTCAAACCTCTAACTTCTCTGAGGCCACCAGGTAACTCCTCAGTTGTGCCAGCCCCTCATTTGCTTCTCCTTCATTTCCTCAAATCCACATGAACCCTTCTCTGTTTCCCTCTCAGCTCCTCTTCCCCCCTCCCCCATTCACCTAGAACTCTTGATCCACTCTCCATATTTCCTGTATCCCCTCTCCCTGAACATCTGTCTCACAATTCTGCTAGCCTTTCTGTCCCACTGAGTTTCAAACTCTCCCATTGCATCCCCACCTTACCATCTATTTCCCAGTCTCCCTGCCTCTCTTATAGGGGGTTGGGGAGAGTGGAACAGAGTGGCTGAGTGTGCTGGAGGGTGGCCCAAGGACTGTGATCATGAATATGCAGTCAGCCTGGTAAGGAAGGTGGGAATGAGGGGACTTTTGGGGTCTCTGAGTCAGCCTGGTGACTCAGCGTCCTCCCTCGGGCTCCCAACAGGCTTGGGGGAGGTGCCCAAGTTTCCACTAAGAACATTGTCTCCCCTCCTCCTCTCTCATCTTTCTTAATCTCCTCTGGGCTGGGAAATAAGACAAGGAGAGTCTCAAGACAATTCTGGTTGGAAAGGGAAAGGAAAAATGCCCCTCTTCCCTAGTTCAGTCGCAGGAGGAATCTTGTTCAGCCTCAGACTTTCTTGGTTCCAAGCCTGGCCCACTAGTTAATTCACATAGACTGGCATCAGCTACTTTTTTCCTCACTCTTCACTCTATAGGACCAGGAGAGTGGGTGAAGTACCAAGAGTAGAAGGTTCCAAGAAAACAGAAAGGAACAGGAATCTGCAAGTAGTATTTTGGAGGACACAGACTGAATTGAGAAAGTTGTCAGCTGGCATGGCTGAGTGAACCCAAGAGGTGCCTTAAGGGTCTTAAGCCTCCCTGCAGAATTTTCATCACCTTCTCCCCCAACAAAATCCATAAACTCTAAGTAAAAACAATATGCTTGCCATACAAATACAGCTTTGAGACAATTCTCCTAGTTTTACACTTCCAAAAAGATTGCTTGTCAAGTGCCTCCCATGCAGAATTTCTGGCAGTGCCGCTGCTCCATTCCTGTCTCTCCCACCACATGCTTTTACATGCACACGTGTACATGTGTCTTGGCTTCTGTGTGCACTCTCCACCCTAGGAATTGACTTCAAGATCCGCACTGTGGACATAGAAGGGAAGAAGATCAAACTGCAAGTCTGGTGAGTGAATCCCCCAGGACTGCTACCCAGACCTCCTCATTTACCTCCTATAACCCTTTTCCTTCCATTTGGCTTCATTTCTCTCCCTTTCTCCATTGCTCCTTCCAGCTCTTCTCCTAATCGATTTCTGTCACCTCACTCAGGTGTCTTTCCATCTCTTTTCCTGCTCCCTCAAATTATTTTTAGCTTTTTGTAACTCTCTTGCCTCTCTTGGCTCCAGAGCATTTTCTGAACTTGACAACAAACATCTGTTGAGCTATAATGTGGAAACAGACTCTAAGCAGTTAAATAGCAAATAGCAGAATTAAGACTCGCCCCTAAGTCTAGTGCTCTCTCTAAATTATGGAGAGCCCAGAAAAACAAATGTAGACGTTTGACTTGACTGTCATAAGGAAGCTGGAGACTCTGAAGGTGTTTAAGTGGTACGTGGTTTGAGGCTTAATAGAGGCCTTATGATACAGTAGATAAGAGCAGGCTGTGGTCCAAATTCTGGTTCTGTTACAGAATGACCTTCATTACTTACTTAGCCTCTCCAAATTGATTTCCTCATTTGTAAAGTAGGGACAAGAAAACATGTCTCACAGGGATAGAGTGAAGATTAGTTAAAATGACACATACATATAAAATGATACATACACAGTGCTTGGCAGAGTAAGCATCCAATGAATAAACCAGAGAGATCTTGTTTCTTAGGCCTCTCCCATCTGTCAATATCAGCCCAACTGTCTTTCATCCCTTTCCCCCTTTCCTGTTTCCTGATTCTGTTTCTTTCAGCTCCACCCTGTTGCAAAAGCTAAATTCTTCTTCTTTTTTTTAAAATTTTCTTTTTAATTTTATTTTTTTTTGTTTTTGCTGAGGAAGACCTGCTCTGAGCTAACATCTATTGCCAATCCTCCTCCTTTTTTTCTTTTCCCCCCGAAGCCCCAGTAGATAGTTGTATGTCATAGTTGCACATCCTTCTAGTTGCTGTATGTGGGACGCGGCCTCAGCATGGCCGGAGAAGCGGTGTGTCGGTGCGCGCCCAGGATCCGAACCCGGGCCACCAGTAGCGGAGCGCGCGCACTTAACCGCTAAGCCACGGGGCCGGCCCAAAAGCTAAATTCTTAGCTTTTGGAGAGCCCTTCCCTCTATCCCATCCCATGAAATATTCCACTTCTTCAGGGACACGGCTGGGCAAGAGCGATTCAAGACGATCACTACTGCCTATTACCGTGGAGCCATGGTACGAAGTGTGGGTCTGGACAAGGGATGAGGGCATGAGGCAATAGAATGTAGGTTTATGAGTATAGAGGGGCAGGGGTTGGGGCAGGGAAAAATTGGGGGGCGAAGTGTGGGTCTGGACAAGGGATGAGGGCATGAGGCAATAGAATGTAGGTTTATGAGTATAGAGGGGCAGTGGTTGGGGCAGGGAAAAATTGGGGGGCACAGTGTGGGTTGCAGAGGGCGCCACATGGCCTGGTGATTACACTCGTGGATAGAACTTGCAGGGTCACTTAGAAGGCAATGGGAAGCCTAAACAGGGGAATATGTTCTAAGGCTCCATTGTGAACTCTGCCATCCCCCAGGGCATTATCCTAGTATACGACATCACAGATGAGAAATCCTTTGAGAATATTCAGAATTGGATGAAGAGCATCAAAGAGGTGAGGACCCTCCAAGAGAGATGGGGGAGTTGGGTAGAACCTCGAGGATGAAGGGGATTGTGAAGATGAGCTGGACCCAACTTTTACTCATCTTACCCTTTTGCTCCCAGAATGCCTCTGCTGGGGTGGAGCGCCTCTTGCTGGGGAACAAGTGTGACATGGAGGCCAAGAGGAAGGTGCAGAAGGAGCAGGCCGATAAGGTAAGGACTGCGCTGGGCAATGTTCTAGAACTGGGCTGGGAGGGCCAAGATGAGGTTGGATTGCAGAGGATTTTGCCGCTGCCCTTTATTCAACTCGCTTCTTCCCATTTCACCCCCACAGTTGGCTCGGGAGCACGGAATTCGATTTTTTGAGACAAGTGCCAAATCCAGTATGAATGTGGATGAGGTGAGACACAACCCATCCCACCCCACAAAGAGATGGAGTATTGGAAGATTGACTTCTCCTCCCCCCCCAGTCTGTTCTGACCAATCTCCCCTTTCCCCATTAGGCTTTCAGTTCTCTGGCCCGGGACATCTTGCTCAAGTCAGGAGGCCGGAGATTGGTGAGTTGGTTCTGCTGGGCTAAGCACAGCTATGTATGTGTGTGTTGGGAGTAAAAACTGAGGAGGGAAGCAGTGCTAAGACTTCTCATGAGGGTGGGCCCCCTTCAAACAGTTTATAGCCTCAGAATCCAGCCAGCCATTCTCACCCTGACCCCTATGCCCTTCTCTCTCCAGGGAAACAGCAACAAGCCCCCCAGCACTGACCTGAAAAGTTGTGACAAGAAGAATGCCAACAAGTGCTCCCTGGGATGAGAACCCCTTTCTGCCTCCCCACCCTAAGTCTGGAGGCTGAACCTGAGGGAGGCCGGGCTGAGGGGCTGGGCAGGGGAGAAATAGCAGCGGGGGCTTGGAGGGATTGAGGTGGATAGATGGTGGAAGAATGGGGAGAAAATGGAGAAGAAAAAAGGAAGAAGACAGAAGGGAAGAGGAAAAGAAGGAAAGGAGGTAGAATAGGCAAGGAGAAGAGAAAGAATTGAGGAAGTGAAAGAAGGTAAGAAGGAGGTAGGGAGAGAGGGAGGAGGAGAGGAAGGATAGATGGCCCTGGGCCTCAGACTTTCCCTTTGTTTCCAGGGCAAACATAAATGTAAATAAATAACTGATTTATTCTGTTACTGGATCAGGTTTTAGGGTCCTGTGAAAGGCTGGCTCAGAACCACCCTCTGAAGATTGGTCCTATCTTGTCACTCTGCATGGTCTTTCTCAGTATTAAAGGCCACCATTTGCACAAATGTCCCTGGTTTGGGTAACGTCCATCATTGTTGGAATTGCTCTCTACTCATAAACCTAATTCCTGCCTCTCTATGGTGGTTGGTCTGCCTGAATCTGGCTGGGTTCCTGTGACGCCAGGACTAATCCTGCAGTTCTCCCTTCCCCAGCTATTTATTTGATGAGGAAAACAGCAAGGAGCAGAGGCTCTCTGAACCTGAAGGTCAGACATCCTCTTTCCATTATGGGGTTCAGAGGATCCTTGTGGGCAGAGCCTTGTCTAGGAGATTTCAAAAGAGGAGGAAGACTCTTTCTTGGGCCTCCCCAGAGGAGTGACAGCCCTAGCCTCAGGGAAATAACAGTACCTAGTATTGTTTATCCAGTGATTTCGGCAAGCTTCTTTGATTTTGCCAGCAATCCCTTTAGGCAGCTGGTAGGCATTATTATCTGCTTTTACTAGATGCGGAAAATGAGACACAGAAGAGGTTCATTTATTCATAAATATTTAAGCACAATGGTCAAGTTAATATAAGCTTTGGGTGGTACTTACAAGAAGCGAGACAGGGGCTGGCCCAGTGGTGCTAGCTGTAAAGTGCGTGCGCTCCGCTTCAGCGGCATGGGGTTCGCAGGCCCGGATTCCGGGCGCCCACCCACACGACGCTTGTCAAGCCATGCTGTGGCGGCATCCCATATAAAGTAGAGGAAGATGGGCATGATCATCTCAACCGATCTTTCTCAGCAAAAAGAGGAGGATTGGCAACAGATGTTAGCTGAGGGCTGATCTTCCTCACAAAAAAAAAGGGAAAAAAAAAATAAAAGAAGAAGAGAGACAAACAAATTTTAACTAAAACAGCTCCTAATTATTGAATAACAAAGAGGCAAAACTATTGGCAAGCAAAAGAACCACCACCAAAAGCTCGGGCTTAATATACAGTCCCCTCAGGTATACATAGCTCCCTTTACCCTTTCACATTAAACAGCAAAATGATCTCACAGACTTGATCTTTTATCAGGATAATGAAAATGTCAGGTTTGGTGTGGAGAAAATAGCATTAGAAGTTTTATTCATGGATATGATGTTCAAGGCATTTAAGAAATCCCCAAGCCTGCAGTGTGGAAGTGGGTGGCACAACCCTGGAGTCAGCAACAAAGCCTTTTTTGTGCTGCTGTTTCTGTTGGTAAAAAGACAACCCTCAAAAAAAAGTCTGACAGTGCTGGGAGAAGGACTTGAGAAATAATTTGATAAATGTATTAAGTACCCAAGCTTCCTTGGGGTAATGATCCTTATCTGTGGCTTACATTTGAGCTCTGTAGTCAACTGCCCAGCTGGTTTAATTTGCTCAAGAGATGTGGAAAGACTTGCATTTTGTGAATCCCAGGAAGAAGAATGACTGATATCTTTATCATAGCCCAGAGCAGATATTTTAAAATCCAGTTTCAGTGTAGAGACCCTATTCAGTTGCTTGGTACGGCTATTGGAAGTGAGATCTTACAAGAACTCACAGCTAGTCATGAGACATGGTAGGATTGGGTAAGGAGTAACAATACCAGAAGACAGCAGCCAAAACTTTTATTGTAGCTAAAAACTATTGGGAAAAAATCCACACCCTACTATCTGTAACATACAACTATTGACACACACAGGCAAATAATTAACTTAAAGGAACAAATAAATAGTCAAAGCAAAATTAAAGCTCAGCTCTCACCAGGCTTTTTTTTCCCAACTCCCACCCACTGATCTTTCCACAGTCTGATAGTTCCTGCTCTTGAGAAGCCAGCTTTAAGTTTGCTGGGAAGATAGACAGAATTTATGGGATATAGCACCAGGTATACTGTTAATTCCAAAATAAAGTGCTCTAGCCTTTAGGGCTGTTGGGGAGAGAAGGGAGCTGTGGTCTTTAGGCTAGAAAGACTTGTTGGGGGAGGAGAATATGGAGCAGAGTTAGCAAGAAAAAAGTATGGGGACAAGCCCTTTGATCTTGAGAAGTGGGGTCCAGATTATTAATAGTGCCTATTTATATGAAGTTTATTTTAAGTACCTCCTGTCTATCTACTGAGCATCTAAGAAAACTGAACTCACATGGTCCCGTTGTCTGGGAGGCTGCAGACATACAGATATGTAAAACTGGGAGGAAAATTCTGGCAGGATAGTGGCTAATATATTACTAGACAGTAAAGCATGAACCCAGAGTGTGGGTCAAGTCACTGGGGTTCTGGATATATATCAAGGTTTAACTCCATAGGAATGGAAAGCAGGCATAAATCCTTAGCCTGGGCGTTGAAAGTCTGGACTGAAGCTTCAGCTCTGTCACTCACTAGCTGGGTAACCCTGGACAAGTCACTTATACTCTGAGTTTACTCATAAAGCAGAGATGGTATAATACCAGCTCTGACTCCTCAGGATTACTAAGGAGGATCAAAATGACCTAAATGTTGAATTCAAAAAGTATGATAGAAATGTAAGGCAATATAATTAGAAGAGAATAAAGTATTTTCATACACATTTCATTTGCATCTCGCCAAAAAACCCTAGAAAACGCACATTAGCATTTCCGTTTTAGACGGAACACAGAACTAGATACCGTCCTAAAGTCACGTGGCTCATAAGCTCCTGAACTTGGACACAACGCTTATTGGGACTTCAAATGTTATGCTCTTCTCATTGCACTAACGATTATTCCATTATATAGGAGCAAAGGAGAGCCCAGAACATTTGAGGAGGTTGTTGAAAGGACCCGTTCTGGGGAGTAATTTAGCAATTAACATGAGAGAAGGTGACATCTGAGTACTGGAGCTGAGTGGGAGCCCCGAGACAGGGGAAGGCTTCACGTTCATTGTGGGTCTCAGGTATTCCTGCTCCTGGAGGGAGGAGAAAATGCAATTTCGCCTCCATCCCTGGACCGCCAACCCATCTTCTCCCCTTGACCATCCATCGAGGCGAGAAGAATGAGACGCAGAAGGGTGTCAGACAGGCTGAAGCTGAATGGTGAATCCCAGGGTCTTAAGGAAGGAGCAAAATCCTGAGAGGGCGGCGTATTGTTCTTTTTTACGTCTCGCTGCTCACCGAGCCCAAAATGGGCAAACAGGTGACAGCCCAGGCAGCAGCGAAGCGAGAGCGCAGAGGAGCCTCCCAGCCGCCATTTCCCTGCTGCCTCAGAGGACTGCCAGGACCAGCATGCACCGGGGCGCCGAGCCAATGGCCGCAGCTCGCCGCACAGGCGCCGTGAAGGCTGCCTCCCAGGGAGCCGCGGGCCAGCGCCACCAGCCCGGAAGACTACAAGCCCCGGCAGGCGACGGCTCCCGCGGCCCCCCCGCCCCCGCCCCGGATCCGCGGCGGGGCAAGATGGCTGCGCCGCGAGCGGGAGCGGAGGGGAGGGGGTGGTAGGCCTGACGAGCGGCCGAAGACGGGGACCCCGGCCCCGGACAACAAATGCGCCTTGGCTTCCCTCGCCGTGGCCATGGGGACGTCCCGATAGATCCTTTGCCCCGATAGGCAGCCCCAGCATTTCGCAGCCCTGACCTGGAACCTCCGGAGGGCTGCAGAGCGAGCGCCGCCTCTGCGCTCCGGCCGAGGCACGAGGCCAGTCGAGCGGGACAGACGCGACCCTGAGCGCTCCATGCCTGCGGGCGTGGGGAGGCGTGGCCTCCCCCAGGGCCGTCACCTCTGCTGGTTGCTCTGCGCTGTCACCTTAAAGCTCTGGTGAGGAGGGGCTGAGGGCAGGCAAAAGGAAGAGGATCGGGTCGTTGCCGCCCCCGAGGATGAGGGAGACTGTATCCCCGTATCCCTGCACCGCGGGGACGGGGACGGGGCGGGGGGCGGGGGTTGGGGTTCTGTTTTCTGACTTTGACTCTTCCTCCCCTCACCCGCTGCAGCCAAGCGGAGGCTCCTGTGCGGGAGGAGAAGCTGTCAGGTAGGTGATGGTTTGGGATCCTGATGCCCCCATAGTTTTTTTTTTTTTTGTGAGGAGGATCAGCCCTGAGCTAACATCTGCCAGTCCTCCTCTTTTTGCTGAGGAAGACTGGCCCTGGGCTAACATCCCTGCCACTTTATATGGGACACCGCCTCAGCATGGCCTGACAAGAGTTGCGTTGGTGGGCGCCCTGGGATGCGAACTTCGGCCGCCAGCAGCGGAGCACGGGCACTTAACCGCTAGGCCTCGGGGCCGCCCCCCTCACCACGCCCATAGTTTGTTTTGACATTCTCCCAGATACCAAGAGCACAGGTGGAAAAGGGCGGCACCACGTAGAATGAGGGCATTCAGCTGTGCTGGGAAGTTGGATGGGCAGAACCTTTGGGAGAACTAGTTTCTGAATGAGGTCTGGGGCTGGCATTTCTCTTGCCTTTTAGTGAGCACCTCAAAATTGCCGTGCTGGCTGGTGGAAGAGTTTGTGGTGGCAGAAGAGTGTACTCCATGTTCTAGTTTCCAGGCTGTGAGTATCTGTTTTCTCTCCCTTTTTTTTTTAACCTCTAATCCATCCCTAAGTCTTACTAAGTGTGCCTTTGCATTGTCTTATTGTCTTTTTCCTTGCAGGTTCAGTGTATATCCAAGTCTGAACTTATCTTCCCCCAAAAATGTGCCTTTTTCTTTCCAAATTAATGGCAACATTCAGCTAATAACCATGTTATGTTCATTTTTAATCCAGTAGGCTCTGGAACGTGTCCCCACCTCTCCTAGACTGTTGCCCCTGAAATGTTCTTTCTAACACATATTTCTAATCATGCAACCACCACTTCCACCATCCCCAACAGAACTCTTCATTAGTTCTCTATTGCCTGCCATCTCTGCCGTAGCGCTTGGGCACCTGCCCCTTCTGAATGGCAGCATTTCTGCTTCCCCTGCTGCCCTTTCCTAACATGTGCTTTGGTCCTTTTCTCCTGGCAGAAAACCACCCCTGAGTGTGGTTCCACAGGGTATGTGGAGAAAATCACATGCAGCTCATCTGAGAGGAATGAGTTCAAAAGGCAAGTGCTATTTCTCTTCCTGAAACCTCCTAGCTCATCTCTGCTCCTATGACTTGAGGT